ATCCACACTGTTAAAATCATTACAGAACTGCACGGAAACAAATGTCAAGTCTAATAAGTCTACATCTGTATTACATTCAGAGTTACACTGTAGGATGCCTGAGACCTTTATAAATAATTTGATGTCTGTTTCCCTTTAGTGTTCTGGAACCTGCTGGCAAACACACTACTTAAGTTATTATTACAGTAGACATGTAGCAACCAAAGGTCAATGTGCTGAAAAATATTGAAGATACTCTCATCTCCTCTTGCTAAACCATGTTTATCCACACTGTTGAAATCATTACAGAACTGCACGGAAACAAATGTCAAGTCTTATAAGTCTACATCTGTATTACATTCAGAGTTACACTGTAGGATGCCTGAGACCTTTATAAATAATTTGATGTCTGTTTCCCTTTAGTGTGAATCCAGAAGGTTTTTTTTTTTCTTGTCCACTATTTTGACCTTCTACACTCTTAAAAATAAAGGTGCTTCACGATGCCATAGAAGAACCTTTTTGTCTAAATGGTTCCATAAAGAACCTTTAACATCTGAAGAACCTTTCTGTTTCACAAAAGCTTCTTTGTGGGGAAAGAAGGTTCTTCGGATTATAAAAAGGTAAGAAAGAGATGGTTCTTTAAAGAACCTTTGACTGAATGTTTCTTTGCGGAACCCAAAATGGTTGTTCTATGGCATCGCTTGAAGAACCTTTTGAAGCACCTTTATTTCTTGTCCACTATTTTGACCTTCTACACTCTTAAAAATAAAGGTGCTTCACGATGCCATAGAAGAACCTTTTTGTCTAAATGGTTCCATAAAGAACCTTTAACATCTGAAGAACCTTTCTGTTTCACAAAAGCTTCTTTGTGGGGAAAGAAGGTTCTTCGGATTATAAAAATGTAAGAAAGAGATGGTTCTTTAAAGAACCTTTGACTGAATGTTTCTTTGCGGAACCCAAAATGGTTGTTCTATGGCATCGCTTGAAGAACCTTTTGAAGCACCTTTATTTTTAAGAGTGTAAATCTAAATCCGATTATCAGTTTTGGTAAATGATTGTTATATCTGGCATTATCAATGGTGATTTTCAATCTGATTTGGACCTAAATGCATAAATCTTACATTTTATTGTAAACAGTCTCCAGCACACCTACACATGGCTATTGTAGGATCTCTTTGTCTGTGAAGGACCTTTCTAATGGGAAACACATGTGCGGCCATTAATGGCTCAATATAATGTGGTTTTTCACTCTCTGTATATCAAAAATGTGCTTCATGTGGTTCTACATCTACATTTATTGTATCTATTAAAGTCAAAAATATATAAATTGCCTGATTGAACCTGACTTCATTAGGTTACACCATTTTTAAAGGAATAGTTAAAAATTATGATGAAAATGTACTCATCCTCAGGCGATCCAAGATGTAGATGAGTTTGTTTCTTCATTTGGATTTGGAGAAATGTAGCATTACATCTCTTGCTCACCAATGGATCCTCTGCAGTGAATGGGTGCCGTCAGAATGAGAGTCCAAACAGCTGATAAAAACATCACAAGTAATCCACACCACTCCAGTCCATCAGTTAACATCTTGTGAAGTGAAAAGCTGCATGTTTGAAACAAATTCATCATTAAGACATTCTTAACTTCAAACTGTTGCTTGCTCTATACATAATATTTCTTTCTTCAATAAAAAAAAGAAGTCGTCTTGTCTGAATCAGGAGAGAAATGTGCACAGATCAAGCACTGTTTACAAGCTAAATCAGTCCAAAACAGTTCTAAACAAATATGTCAATGTATTTTTGATGTTAGAGGACAATAGAGGATGGACTTTTTCACTGGAAGAAGTGTTATTGAGGATTATGGATTTATATATTGGCCAGAAGGGATGATTTAAAGTTAAAACACCTTAATAATGTATTTGTTTATTACAAACACACATCTTTTTGCTTTTCAAGATGATGATAGATGGACTGGAGTGGTGTGGATTATTGTGATGTTTTTATCAGTTGTTTGGACTCTCATTCTGACGGCACCCATTCACTGCAGAGGATCCATTGGTGAACCAATAATGCTAAATTCTCCAAATCTTTTTTTTTTTTTTTTTAGAAAGGTCCTTCAAATTAATTGTCTTTTTTGGGTGAACTATTTCTTTAAGGGTAAGATCAAGTATTATCAATAACTCTTTAACGTAACAACTATACACACTGTTCACTTTTTACAGTATGTTGGTCTTTACTGAGACTTTCCAGCAGAGCAAAAATATCAGTGTTTGGCAACTTGAAACATGCTTGGAAAATGCACAATGGAGTCAGAGCTCCATTCAAACATAAATGGAATTTAGGGCAGTCATTTCATGCTAGTCATAAGTTTCAAATTAAATCTTTGTATTGCATGCAGCTGTTCTCTTTTAGCTAGAGTGACAGAGCGAGTTTTCATTGATGGAAAGGCTTACAGTAACAAAACCCAGCCAAGCTTCAGAGTTTGTTCAAAAAAAGGCAGTGACTTAAAAGAGACAAACTGTTTAGATTTCTGAAACTGAAAAGAATAAGTCCTTCTTCTGTGCTTATAGACAGACACAGATGTTTTGGGATCTGGGTGGATGACTCTGACAACACACATGACCTGCTCTACATATGTTGCCCTCTGATTTGGCCTTTTGCTGTGTGGGCTTGACCCACAATAGCTCTCTTATATCACATGCAGGACACCCAGTGAGAACAGATTGTAGAACCAGTATCCATAAAACTCACAGCTTGTGAAAGTCTGACCCTTGTAGGAACAAAATCTGTGAAGATGTCTTGAAAATCGAGCTGGAGACACAAAGTAAAACAGGAACAGAAATTAAACTTAATCACCTTAAACTGCACAAAAAACATCTCGCTCCACTCAGAAAGAGTAATGGTTCATTTAATACTACTTAAGAAACTTGCTGGCCTCTGACATTGTTGTTTGTTACTTCAGGTGTCTTCAGCTGTTCAGAAACATTGTCCAAAGTCTTCTTCTTGTATATGCATTTTTATGTGTAGATTAAAACCAACATTTTAGGAACTGTTTAAAGAGTTGTTAACATAATTCAGAATTTAACAGAATAGATGAAACTGGCTTTTTTAACTTTTTTTTTTTGAAGAGAAAGACTGACCCCTGGTGATTACTTTAGGATGTGTCTGCGTGTTTCATTCATCTGATAGGCTGTGTTAGAGCAATTAACAAAAAAAATATATATATATTTATATATATATAGGATGTGTCTGCGTGTTTCATTCATCTGATAGGCTGTGTTAGAGCAATTAACAAAAAATATATATATATATTTATATATATATATATATATATAAACCTAATGTTTTGAAACTAGGTGTTTTCCAAGGTTTTATTTTTTTATTGATATGAACATATAAGCATGTTATTTTAAGCAAATATTTCTCACATTTATATTATCAGTGTTCTTGAAATGAATGAATGAATGAATGTTTTTAAGTAGTTATAAAAAAAAATTATACTCATATCATAATCTGCTGGTGGGGCTACAAGGATAAAGTGTAACAATGTGAGCTGTGATGGTCTCTCTGAGAGTCTTAAAACTAGTCCGCTGACGTGTTAAACAGGGATAGTTTAGACAGACAGACAGCCAGTGCATAAATAGATTCACAACTAGGATGTCAACATAATGTTCAGATAAAGATGAATTATACAAATCTGAATCCACACTTACCCCATGGTTCATTCACGACAATATAATAAGAGAAAACCTTGAGAACAACTCTGAATGAAGATGTTTTCACATCTGTACAGTCGATCCAATGCAACTTAAAAAGCATCATAGTCTGAAACTTACTGTTAAAACATATTATATATATGATAGATAGGCGAAGAAATTAATTTGAATATGACCTCGTGTGTATGCGCCAGCAAGCGTAACTCGCTCTCTATTGGTTGTTGCACTGCTGAAGTTTTAAAAGCCAGACAGAGTGGAGCCAACTTTCGTGACGTCACGTGACCGTAGCACAACTTCAGGACAGCGCTTGTGTAACATGGCAACCAGCTGTATCCTTCCGCCTTTACTTAGACTATAGTTCTAAGTGTATTTGGTGGTTGCTCATTGTGTCAAGTACACAAATCAGGCTGTTTGTTTTCCAGATAATATTCACATAAATAGATACCGTATAAAAAAAATAAGCCTAGCGCCTAATGTTATGTAAAATGTTAGAAGTACATTTTAATACATTTTTGGCTAGATGTGTTAAAATACAAGCACAGTCTGCTCTGATTGGCCAGCTGACCCAGTGCATTGTGATTGGCTGAACACCGCCAATTTATTCAGCTGCATATAGCATGGCAAGGTTGGGGATTTTGGATTAATGTTATTATTATTAATATTATTATTAATAATTATTATTATATTTAGGGCCTATTATTATTATTTATGATTATTATTATTATTATTATGTGTTATCAGATGTAATAATGATTTCTGTCTGTTGGAAACTGTCGTCTGTTGTTTTTATTTATACACAAATGTTCATATCGATCTATATGTGCTCCAGTACTGTTTTTTTTTCAGTAAAATCACAGTGGCAAAATATCCATAAATCTCAATAAAGGCACTACAGAAACAAACAACTAAATAATAATAATAATAATAATTAGCAATAAATTCAGGGTCAGCTATAGCAAGTTAGAACGAATGAACACTAATAACATAATAGGACACTAATATTGTAATAGAATAAATTATATAGAGTTAATTTAATCACTTACAGTTACATTCCCCTTCATATAGGGCCCTCTGATCTCATTAGAACAGGTATTTGACTGTTAGTAGATGCCTTCTAATGTTGTCCATCTTACAACCACTATAGAGAAACCATAATACTCTCATAATACAATACTATACTCCATTTATCACAGACATCTTTTGATGATCTCAAGTGCATCCGCAGGCACAGAAGAGTAGTAGCTTGTCAAATGTGCGGATGGATATGCACTCGTGTGATTCGCCTCCAGTCTGTTTGACGCCAGGACGGGTGAGAGACGAGAGGGAAAGAGAGGCAGGGAAAAAGAGAAAAAACCTCCTTCATGTCGGTGTCTGTGAAACAGAGCAGAGGTCGACAGACGCTACACCACTTCATGAAAGGTATGCAATCTAACGATAATACATCGAGCCGATAAAGACGGTTCAGCGGTCACTTATCAACTTTATTCCAACAGGGATGGTGGCTTTTCCGCAGGGGGGTGTTGAGAAGTGATTGAAAAAGTTTCCTTGCTGTTTTTCCCTTTCCTTTTTGTGCGAATGAGGTGAGGAAAACGCGTGAACGAAGTATATTTACATTTTGTAAAAGGAGTATAAAATGTTTAAAACGGATTATAGACCGTTAAACCACAAACTGCACATCTAAACGGCTAACTGGCCATGTAGCAACTCGGCTAGCAGTAAGTTTTCACACAATACAGAAAAACGAATGTATCCAAAAATATGTCGTTGTAATTTTTGAAAGTTATGAAAACGCGTTTTATAGTAAAAGCGGGTTGAATTTAAACCGAATAACTTACCCATGTTTTGAACTCAATCCTACAAAGTTGCGGCTAACGTAGCTTAGCTTCACTCCTCGTTTATTCAGCTAATAAATATTTATGATTTCGCAGGAAGTCGCGCGTATTTACATACAAAACCCCACGAGGATGAAATAAACAACGGCGTACTTTAATAATAATTGGTGTATAGTTAAAGAAAGTGACTGTTCACATTCTTGTGAGGAAAGATGGTCGTGTCTTACTGGCTGTGTCTCAAATCCTAGTGTGCTGCCCACTCAGACAGCATTTTTGGGCATTATAGTCTCTAAAAGCTGGTGTTCTGCCTAGGCTCGGACTTTCTAAACGTGCCTGTGATGCCCAAAATGCTGTCTAGATGGGCAGCTCCCTTGGTTTTGGACAGTCTGTCTTCAGTAATATTCGTTTAAATCCCTTGGAAACACATTCACAGATGATTGCTTGTCGTTTAGCGACCCAATTGTCTATATGAGGGGTAAAGTTTCTATTTTAGCATCGGTTTGATAGTAATCATGGAGAATTTGAGCTGATGTGATGAGCTGAAGTCGGCTATCTCTGTGCGCAGTCTTTGGAAATATCCATAGTGTCCTTCTCAAATTTTTCTGACCTTGAAACATTTGGAGAAAGATGTTGTGAGGCTGGAACTAGATGGTTTAGGTTTGTTTGGGGATTTGTTTAAAAATTGTTTGTGTGGTCTGAGACTTGTTTATTGCTGTTTTTGTGGAGAGTTGAGTTTTTTTTTTTTTTTAGACAGAGCTTCAAAATCATATTTTTCCTTGGCTTTGGTGTGCAGAGATAAATGTTGCACATTGAATGGCATTTTCCTAAGTATCATAATTGCAGTTCTTTGTAGACACGCATTTGAAAGACATCGGCTTGCTTTTGACCTTGACCAAGGGGAGGTTTGGAAACGGTCAGCTTTTAACATGTTATCGGAGATGGAGTGCCTTCAAAGAGCAGCATCACCATGTTACTGGCTTTCATTCATCGCATAATAAGATTCTGGGTTATCAAAGCGTATAGCATTGCTTTAATGGTGATGCATAAATGATTGTCTTGTCAATACGACTGAACTTACTGTTCTTTTTCAGTAGTCTTCAATCTGAGATTTCAAATGTATCTGTAAGTTGAAACACCATATGCATTAGGATTCATAGCTCACTTTGATGTACAATACATACACTTTCTTTTAAGCAGAATAGAAATGATCTAAAGATAAAAAATATACATAACAGAAAATATGAGTATGCCTAGGCCTGTCACGATAACAACTTTTTGTTGTGCGATATATTGCCCCAGAAATAATTGCGATAAGCGTTATTATTGTCATTTTAAAGACCATTTTATGCCACTGAATATATAATCAATGTAACAGCATAATAATGCAAGAAGGCCTACACACTTCCAAATGACAACAAACTTTACATTTTTAAGAATATTTAGATCATGGAAATTAAGTGTCAAAATATTATATACCTTACAAAACCTGAATAAATAGTAAATAAACATTTTCTAACAAAAAGTGCAAAGTAACAAGTAGAAAAAAAGAAAAATGCACAAAGAACTTGTATGGAGATTTTTCCCGGACCTTCTTTTCTCTGTAAATGAAGGGTGCACACTATTGCTGAAAAACACAATCACTACTCCGCAGTCAGATGTCCATATGCACAAAGACACAGATCCCTAAACAAGACCATATCTGCAGATGAAACTTTGTTTGTAGAAGCATTTTTAAAATTTGAACGAGCATCTCATGACTACACCACGTTATGTACGAGAAGCTGCAAAAGACACAAGCGCAAGTGGAATGTACAAAACACGGTGACATTAATTTTTAAGTAAGTATAATGGGAGATATATTGCGTTGCCAAAAATTATTGTGGTCATGTACATATATTGCGCGATAAGTCTATATATTGATTATTGCGACAGGCCTAAGTATGCCACATGATTAAGTTTTTTTTTTTTCAATAGCTGCTTAACATGATGAAAAAATATCTTCTGTTTCACAGTGGATCTAACATTGCAATTAAAAATCGGTTGGTGCACACAAAAATAGCTTGATCTTTAACATATTGATGAGATGTTAAAATATATATTTTTTCCAGATAAGTACTTTTTTCATGGGTGGAGCTGTATTCTTTTAATATTTGTTGAAATATGGCAGTAAGTCATATTTTGCTTCTGCCCTGGTTGTTTTGAAGTTTCTTCTTTGAATTTTTGCAATAGCAGAATTCCTTTCCATTGAGAGCCTCTGAATGTCTGCCAACGTGTAACATCTGTCACATAGATGTTCATGTGAGCGTTCACATCTGTTGTCAATCTTGAGCTATGATCTGATCCTGAATAATATCGATTAAAATGAATGTTGCAGATGTATACCTTCAGAAACCTGTTTTTCTTTGTAGTATTTCAGGCATGGAGAACAATGAGGTGGTAATTGTTTATGTGCAGCATAAAGAGGATCTACCCCTATTTGTGTCGATGATGTAAGGCTCCAGGGATGGAGAGACTAGATGGTGTCAAGCAATTAAACAGCCCCCCTCTGAACGACTGCATCTTTGTCTTGGATGGGTGTGACGGCTCTCCTCCTTATTTAGAAAAAGAGGTCTTGTTCTGGGCTTGTAAGAAAGCCATATTTTTCTGATCAAATTCAAACTGATACAATTGTAAGGCCGTGCTTCTGTCTTGCATCTGTCGTGCTCTTAAATGTCACTGAAATGTTAGATGGCTCTTTCAATCTGGCTATTATACCTAATTGTATGCGTAATTTGATTTTAAGGATAATGCATGGGTTGAAGCCCACTAGAGGCATTGTGACTGCACGACAGTCCTTGTAATAAATCAAATTGATCCAGCAAGGAATAAAAGCACCTCTTCCTTGGTCTGGAGCTCTATTAGTGTCAAAATGTGACTCCATTATGATTTAGAAAGCTGATTTCATGTGTAATTTTGCAAATGGCACTGCCATTGAATGTATATCATAATTATAAAGCAGCATCAAGATGCACATCTTCTGATAATCATGTTGCGGTTGTGGTCAGCATCTTAACATTATTTTCATTATTTGGGATGAAACAGATGACTGTCAATTTTCATTTTATGGGCATATTAGCCTCACGTCAGACATTTCTACTTCACTTTTAAAGCAAAATGTCTCTCTCTCCATGAAATAAGAGCATAGAAAGAGTAAAAGCTTTAAGTGGGAGGCTTTTGTGACTCCTAGAAAAATCAATATGGGTAATGCTTTCTGTGCTTCTCATTTTGCAAATGGAGCAGCTGAGTGTAGAGGCAGGATGGAGATAGGGAGCAGGGAAGTGTGTGTTTGTGTATTGAGCTTCTATATTGCTGATCTGAGTCCTGTACTTCCTATTGTTAAAGCTTCGCTATCATCACTCCCTCAGCAATCAAGGCAGAGTGTGCTGGTTACAAGCTGATAACTTGTTTCTGCTGATAAGCAAGGCATTTTGGTGTGTGCCGACTTCAGATTTCAGGAATTCAATCTCTGGCTTGATTTTTACCATTCACAGTGTTAGTCATTGGTCAGAATAGAGCAGTTTAAAGTAATGATGAGTTTCAATTCAAGTTATGCTCTATTGACAGCATTGGCGGCATAGTGTTGAGTAGCACATAAAATACATGTTTTTTGAAACATACAGAACATATTATTTCGATGCTTTCTTATTTTGTCAATATTACAGCTTCTATCATAGTCACGTAACTTTGGCATGGTATGTGTGAGGATCCGGAAAACAGGAATTACGGCAGTGACAAACTGTATGAAGTTGACACCCGCCCCCAGTGAAATGCAGGTACTTTTCCCACAGTAAATAGTTATTTTGTTTTTGCAGCAGTGACCGTGACAGGTGACTTCTACAGTCTTAAAGACAATTGACTCATACTGTTTTGCTTTTTTAAATGCAAACTTCATAGCTTCATAGCTCACATAATACACATTTTAAAGAAAAATGACTGAATAAATTTGTATCTCCATATACTTATTAGTGCCCGTTTAGTATTACTGCTATTTTTGAAGGACTAGTAGATTTTTCCAACCGAAGCTGTCAACACAGCTAAACTTACACTACCAATCAAAATTTATTATTTTTTTTATTTGTATTATTTTTTAACTTTTATTTAGCAAAGATGCATTAAATGGATCAAGTGTCACATTTCAAATAAATGCTGTTCTTTTGAATCTTTAATCAAAGAAACCTGAAAAAAAGTATTCATTTCCGCAAAAATATTAAGCAGCACAACTATTTTCAGCATTAATAATTATAAGAAAAGCTGCAAATCACCAAATTAGAGTAATGATGCTGAAAATTCCGCTTTGCGTCACATGAATAAATTACTTTTTAAAGTATATTAAAATAGGAAAGTTATTTTAAATTGCAAATAATATTTCATAATACTGATTTCATTGTATTTTTGATCAAAGAAATGCAGCCTTGGTGAGCATAAGAAACTCCTCAAAAAAGGGGGCAGAATATCTTAACAACCCCAAATGTTTGAACTGTAGTGTATATTGAACTCCTAACATTACCTTTAATTCATATGATGAACTGCAAAATTAGATCTGTACTCTTGGTGGAAGACAGTGACATGTCAATTGCAGCTTGTGCTATTAATGTCAGGGCTGGTTTGATTTGCTCCTGCTTCCTTTGTGTATATATGTGCCTGTACACTCACAGGGTCTGAACAATATCGGGGAAGCTCTGTTGTACTGACGGTGGAGTGAGAAGTGATGACCTACTTTACTTACTGTTTGGAGATGTTTGGCTGTTGTTCGCCTGTCTTAACTGCACCTTTGACTAACAATGATTACTGATCCATCATTCTCATTTTACATAAAGCATGGTGTGGTTTGACAGGACAAACACCGCAGTGGTCTGGGTGTGGGAAGTGCTTTGAATAGTAACATTTTGTCCCGAAGAGCCAATGGGCTGATGTTTGGCAGCTGAAGAGGTCAAGGGGAAGGGATGGGATGTGGCTACAGGAAGTGCCTCGCAGAGGTCTTATATCCTTTCTGTCCTGGTTACATTTGCAACTTTTTCAGCAGCTGTGCTGTGCTCTGCTCATCTCGCTCTGGGAGCTCCCTGGGTGGGGCAGCGGGAGGCTGTTGCTTACAGGTCCAACACAATGAGTCTGTTGTAGTTCACCATAACACATGGCAGATGGGTACATCCTAACAGTTATCTGCAAGACCTCAGATGTGTGCGTAAGTGTGTGGTTTTTATAACTGAATAGGCGGTAGCATTTTTTGCGCACTTCCTTTGGACAGTGTTTTTATGTATTTTTTTTTTTTTTTAAGATGTCTAAAACTGTCATTGTGTCACTTGTTACAAAACTTGTAAGTAGTCTAATTATACTATTCAAAGACTCAGTAGGAATACAATTTTAGCCTGTTTTTCAGCACTGTGAAGAGCTGAATAGCTGTAGCGTAACTGTTTGTCACCCATAAAGGGCTATGGACTTTTTTTTTCTGTACACACCAATTTTAAGTTAAAATTTGTGTGAATGCATGAGGAATAGTATATATTTTACATCAGTGCTTCCCAACCTTTTTGACTCAAATGCTTCCCATTATCCACAACCATATTCAAAGGCCCTGTCGTATAGGCTAATTGGTTTCCGCATCTGCTGTAATGTCAGTTTTGTTCTCAAAACTTTTTTTTTTATGTGCAGAATCTGGGATTGTTCATAGATTAAATAAAGTAATTATAAATCAAATTGAAATTTAATTTCAGAATGTCAAACGTTTTAAGAATGTTGAAGTGAATTTACATGACTTTTCCAGTTGTTTGATTTATTTAGGGATGCACTGAAATGAAAATTATTGACCGAAACCGAACACGGTTTTTCGAGTTTTTTTCCCCATGTATTTTTTATTAATTTTTTTTCTTAAATTAAAAAGCCAAAATGTGTTTTTTATTGTTTTGTCTTGCTTTTCAAAGAAAAAAATCTATTACAAAACAACAATTTAAAAATATTTAACACTGAACATTTTTCATATTCTAGCAGACACTATACCAAACAAAGCACAATTTAACTTTAAAATAGTAATTTTGGGCCATCAGACCCCCTTCTTGAATCAGGCATGTATTTTTTACTGTACAATTAAAAGCAGCCTTGCTGAGAAGAGACTTCTTTTAAAACATTAGAAAATATTACAGATCCTAATTTGAACACTGTGTGAATGTTATAATAAATGTATTAAAATAGAGCTGTTGTAATGATTATTATCATTATTATTGTCTTACTTTTTATTTTATTTTACAGAACAACAGTAAAATTACAATATTAATATTTATGAATGATGATAAGATCTCTTGCTTTTTCTCAACTTTTATTTTGGCGGAAACACGTAGGAAGACCTCAATGCTTATTTTTGTTGACAACAGATTTATAAATGAGTCTCATTACGAATACGTCGTACGTATCGCATTTTCACATGCCTTGTAAAAATTAATAAAAATGTGACTGAGCAACTGATGACTGTATCAGCGCAGATTTTCCTCGCGCTTTGGACTTTGAACCCTGGTTAACAAGCAGATCTGCTACGAGGTCGTGCAGCGCTGTCAGAATACATGCAATGCGTGCGTGTATTAGAAAACAATGTTCTGCACTTTATTTACTAATTGTTTAAGGCCATTTTCATGATTTCAATCATCATACAGTAACCAGCAACAATCACCCCTTCCTCTTCTCGTCGGAGACATGCGATGCAGTACTAAACAGTCTCTCACTGTTGGTGCTTGTAATGATTTTTGCGTCTTTCTCCGACAGTTTAAATGCTTCCACACTGCTGACATGTGTGCTGCATAATAAAGAGTGCGCACCTCTTACTTTTACTCTTACGTCGCTGGTTGCTATTTGATCGCGTCACGTCATTGTTCTGTACAATTTATTAGGTCTTTTCGCTTTTTTTGCTATTTTCGGCCGAATAATTTCGGTTGCCGAACATTCGGTGCATCCCTAGTTTTATTTTATAGCAATAAGTATAAAAAAAATGAAGTATGTGTATTCAGTATAAAAATGCCTATGATGTTTTAAGATATTATTAATTTACATTAATTTTTCAGGTCTAGAAACTAAACTTTTGGGGTGAATTAAAATAAGAAATATCTTGGTTTTTCAATCGTTTTATCTTATTTTAAAGCTTCTTTTGTCTTATTTTAACATCTTGAGGCTCCCTTTGGAAATATGGCCATTACCTTCTGGTGGGGAAACACTCTCTTACTGGAATATACTGGAATTGTTTACTGGAACCATTTTTTAAAACTATTTTTAATCATCTTTTTCCACTTAATTAATTTTAAGTTTTAAATGAAGTGCAAATATTCCATCTATCTTGTCTAGGGCATAACCGCAATATCGCAATACCGCGCTATTGACGAGCAAACCGCAGAGGAATGCAAGAACCGCAGCAACCGCGATTTTTGCGTGTTTTCTTTTTTCGTAAGGTTATGTCCTTCTCGTTTTACACTTCATGCATGAGGACTGAATATTAAGTTAGTAATGATAACATAATGTGTACCATGCTGATTTCTAGCGGCTCCGTAGATTTGCACTTAACAAGCCTAAACAGACAGTGAATGAGAGAGAGATCGACTGAGTCTTATTACTTGTGTCTGTCCTCCAGGCCGAGTCTTTTTTTTTTTTTTTTTTTTTTTTTGCACCCTCAGATTCCAGATTTTTAAATAGTTGTATCTTGGCCAAATATTGTCCTATCCTAACACACCATACACCAATGCTTATTTATTCAGCTTTCAGATGATGTAAAAATCTCAATTTGAAAAAATTATGACTGGTTTTGTGGTCCAGGGTCACATATAAGGTCATGAACGTCACATGCAAACAAAATAAAATAATTGACTAAAAGTATATAGTATAGGAGATAGACAGTCCATGTGATCTTTGTCATCATTATGAATTGTATACATGCATTTTATTTCCAAACTAATGTCAGTTTCTCTTTTTTTGTTGCAGGTGCCCCTTTTCGAAGTGTCAGCCTCTGACCACAGCCAGTATCTGGCATGGATTAGTCTCTAATATCTAATAGTCGTCTCATCGTTGTTTTCAACCTTAATTTCTCAATTGCCCTTTACACTAATTCTCGGAGTGGTTGTGACCCAGTTCCACCCGCTTCCTGCTTCACTGCAGGACTTCCTGAGCCCTGAGCACCAGCAGCTGTGTCCTGCCTCGACTTCCTGTCCTTGGTCGTGCAAGGCTAAGCTCGTCCACTCCCCTACCCCCCCCCACATACACAAACACACACATAATCATCTTCCTGGCACACTGTGGGCCGAGAGCGCTTCAGATCCCGCTTCCTGGTGCAGCCCAGCACTATGACCTCCATGTCCAGTCTGTTCTCCTTCACCAGCCCGGCGGTGAAGCGGTTGCTGGGCTGGAAGCAGGGCGACGAGGAGGAAAAATGGGCGGAAAAGGCTGTGGATGCCCTGGTGAAGAAGCTGAAGAAGAAAAAGGGCGCCATGGAGGACTTGGAGAAGGCCCTCAGCAGCCCCGGACAGCCCAGCAAATGTGTGACCATCCCCCGGTCGCTGGATGGGCGGCTGCAGGTGTCCCACAGGAAAGGCCTGCCTCACGTCATCTACTGCCGCGTGTGGCGCTGGCCTGACCTGCAGTCCCATCACGAGCTCAAACCCCTCGAGGTGTGCGAGTATCCGTTCGGTTCCAAACAGAAAGAAGTGTGTATCAACCCATATCACTACAAACGAGTTGAAAGTCCTGGTAAGTCAAGACTGATGTGTTTATATTACTTCTCATGACAGATGTTTTACAACACAAATGTTTTTCGTATTAAGAATTTTCTTGGCACATTTATGGAAAAGTGATAAAAGTACACTACAGGGTAATTATAGTTAGCTAAAACCATAAAAGCATTTTTGTTACTTGAAATTTTAATAAACGTGACCAGGAATAAAAAAAATTTTTTCATGCATTTATTTTATTTCAGCTAGTTGCCAAAGCAACTTTTCTCATTTTATTTACTTTCATTTTCGTTTGATAATTTATTTACTTGATGTACTATAATTACTGAAATAATTAAAACTAAAACTGAAATAAAAAATAATAATAATATAGACATATTTAAAAATATATATATAATAATAATAATAAAGACATAAAAAAATGTCCAAAAAAACACCATAAACAAATTACTAAAACTAAAATGAAAATGTGAAATACAAAAATAAAATCTAAATATTGAAAGAAAAAAAAACTGTAACAGTATTTCAGTAATACTACTGTTTGAAATTTGGGGTTGGTCATTTTTTTTTATCTTATGTTCACTAAAGCTGCATTTATTTGATCAAAAATACAGTAAAAACAGCAATATTGTGAAATGTTATTACTATTAAAAATGTTTTATCATATATGCTGACACAGAGAGAGCATGTTTAGGTAAGAAACAGCTCCACAAAATCTTTTCAACTACACAGTATTATTTGCGTCTTACAGTCATTCATATTATCACAGAAATACTGGGATGAAAGTTTATAGTTCAGATATAAACTTTGATGTCTATGATGGCGATCAAAATAGAGCAAATGCCCTTTTGAAAGTAACTGGCGCTTCAAATAACGTTTGTGTCGATTACATTGATTCGCAAAAAGTGACTTAAAAATGTATTTGTCATTGAATCATTCATTCGAGAGGTTCATTCAAAAACGCTGATTCATCCAGTAATGAAACAAGTGAAGTATTTATGAGTCAGTCATTGAATCATTCATTCAAACCACTTAATAATTTTTTTCATATTTTTAATATCAAAAATGGGTGTATTAAATATTATATTGTAAATGCATATATTTTAAATGGTTTAATAATTCATTCAAATTAATTAAACGCTTTTAAATAGATTGCAGCAATAACATTTTGTTATACATTATTTAGTTTATTTCAGAATCGTGGGAGAATCGTGATCTCTATTTGAGACAAAACAAATCGTGATTCTCAATTTATCCAGAATCGTGCAGCTCTACCACTCATGATATTGATGGATCTTTTGGGATGTTTTTGCCAGTGAACAGCAAACTGATGTGTTGATTTTCTTTGCTGCTGCGATTGCAAACGGATGTGTGATGCTGAATGATAAACCTGTGATATGACGGTGAGTTGTGCAGTGTCGATTGCTGTCAGTAAACAATGGAAATGCCAGCTAAGCAGCACACCAAAGCCCGGTGACTTCAGTCCTGCTGCTGGGTGCCCATCACTTGGCACCGTCCCGCGCTCCCTCTATTCTGTATTGAGTGATTTGCTGATGCCTGCATCTGTAGACTGGGTGCACTCAGGCAGAAGGACAGCAAATGTTTTATAGCGCTGTGGGTTAGAACTAAAGCTGGTTTTATTCATAGAAATTGCTTGATTCATCACAGCTTCAGATCTTCCTCAGTGATTAAAGTGATGGAAGCACTTGAAGCTTTGACATTTACATTGTGAATGAATAATTGTTTTACAAAATGAGCTGCTTTTTTGTCTCAGCTAATCACTAGTGCAGTCCCAACAGCATCAACAATTCAATATTTAAACACTACCATGAAAAAGTTTGGCATAAAAAAAAATGTATCCTTTTATTCCGCAAGGATGACTTAAATTTATTAAAAATGACAGTAAAGATGTTTATAATGTTACAAAAGATTTCTGTTTCCTTTTTTAGTCATCAAAAATAATTTTAAGTTGTAATAATATTATACAATATTACTGTTACAAAATCAGATAATAATGATTCATTCAGATGGATCCGTTTTTCTGCAGTTAAATTCCAAAGGAAATACAGCATAATTTAGTTTCTTATATGTTCAATAAAAAAATAACTCATCTGATATGACTGATCCACCAGACGAGCAATCTGACAACGCTTTTCTCCTTTGGCTTCATTGAATTTGTCTGGAAATTTAACTTATTGAGCCTTTTTAAAATACTTCTTGCATTAGATAATGTCTACCAAGGATTTTTTTTAGAGCCAGAGGTGATTTAAAAAAAAAAAAAAAATTTATTAGCCATAAACCATTTCTGGAAGGGATTGCATTCAAATATATTTTGCTGTTCTGTTTGCTTTTTAGTGGTAAAACAGATACTTCTAAACAATATATGTGTCCAAATACATATTTAAACTAGCCCAGATGATAGTCAACAACAACAAAAAAGCCCGCTTCATTGAATCATTCATTCAAACCACTTAATAATTTTTTTCATATTTTTTATATCAAAAATGGGTGTATTAAATATTATATTGTAAATGCATATATTTTAAATGGTTTAATAATTCATTCAAATTAATTAAACGCTTTTAAATAGATTGCAGCAATAACATTTTGTTATACATTATTTAGTTTAATTCAGAATCGTGGGAGAATCGTGATCTCTATTTGAGACAAAACAAATCGTGATTCTCAATTTATCCAGAATCGTGCAGCTCTACCACTCATGATATTGATGGATCTTTTGATTTATTAGCCATAAACCATTTCTGGAAGGGATTGCATTCAAATATATTTTGCTGTTCTGTTTGCTTTTTAGTGGTAAAACAGATACTTCTAAACAATATATGTGTCCAAATACATATTTAAACTAGCCCAGATGATAGTCAACAACAACAAAAAAGCCCGCTTTAAATAGCTGTTGTTTCCACATCATGAATATCTGTATCATTGTAAAGAGGTGGGTGTTTGATGTAAGGGATTTGCGAAATCTGACACTAAAAGGTTTCCATAAGATGCGAAGCGGCTTCCTGTAAAGAATCATCAGAATGCAGGCTCCAGGGGATTGCAGTGGAAGCCCATTTGTTTGCAGCAGGCCTCATCGTCTGACCGCTATCTCTCTGTGGTGTCTCTTTACCAGCTGATACCCCTCCTCCTGCCTACATGCCTCCAGATGAACAGATGGGACAGGACGGGTCTCAGTCCATGGAGACTGGCAGCAGCATGGTTCCTCAGAACATGCCCAGAGGGGGTAAGAAACTATTGACGTCCTATTCAGAAGTAATCCAGGTGTGATGTCAAAGAACATATAAAAAAAAAAAAAATCCCTCAAATCTGAGTATTGTCATGTAGCTTGTTCATTACAGAAGTATGCGTGTATGTCTGTCTATGGCATGTTTCATAGCGGAAATATTGGCCTATATTACCAATGGCATTGCAGAAACCATAAATACAGCCATAAAAGTAAAAATATTTTTTTAAAGAGCCACCCAGTTAGACAGGGAATGAAATATAAGAAGTTAAAATTCACAACAGTCCAAAATACAATTGCGATTTTTATTTTTAAATATAGTAAAAGTTAAAAATGTATGTCCATTTAATGATATACTTGTTACCACTCCAATTTGTTTTTGAAGTTTAAACATTAAAATGGTGGCTGTCAAAACTTGTGATAACTTTCATCATGGATTTATTCAAACATGCATTAAGACAAAAATCTATCGTAATATTCTGCATATCTGTAGCAAAATTAATTAATTAATTAATTATTGTAGAGTTAAATAGCATTGCATTATATTGTTTGTAAATGGTTTTCTTAACATTTTTTCACAGCATACTAAAGTGTGTTTTGAATTTTGTGATTTAAATTGACAAAACAATTTGAAAGCTTGATATAAAAGTAACACAATGCAAAGCTCATTGCAACTAGTGCATGGCAGGCATGCTACAAATGATGTTTAGTGAAGTTTTATAATAGAAATTGCTTGATTCATCACAGCTTCAGATCTGCCTCAGTGATTAAAGTGATGGAAGCACTTGAAGCTTTGACATTTACATTGTGAATGAATAATTGTTTTACAATATGAGCTGCTTTTTTGTCTCAGCTAATCACTAGTGCAGTCCCAACAGCATCAACAATTCAATATTTAAACACTACCATGAAAAAGTTTGGCATCAAAAAAAATGTATCCTTTTATTCCGCAAGGATGACTTAAATTTATTAAAAATGACAGTAAAGATGTTTATAATGTTACAAAAGATTTCTGTTTCCTTTTTTAGTCATCAAAAATTATTTTAAGTTGTAATAATATTATACAATATTACTGTTACAAAATATGACTTTTTGATCAAATAACTGCAGCCTTGGTAATCATAAGAGACTTTTTCATCACATGAAATCACAACAAAACATGAAATCTTACCAACCCCAAACTTTCAGTGATGATAATGATTCATTCAGATGGATCCGTTTTTCTGCAGTTAAATTCCAAAGGAAATACAGCATAATTTAGTTTCTTATATGTTCAATAAAAAAATAACTCATCTGATATGACTGATCCACCAGACGAGCAATCTGACAACGATTTTCTCCTTTGGCTTCATTGAATTTGTCTGGAAATTTAACTTATTGAGCCTTTTTAAAATACTTCTTGCATTAGATAATGTCTACCAAGGATTTTATTTAGAGCCAGAGGTGATTTAAAAAAAAAAAAAAAATTATTAGCCATAAACCATTTCTGGAAGAGATTGCATTCAAATATATTTTGCTGTTCTGTTTGCTTTTTAGTGGTAAAACAGATACTTCTAAACAATATATGTGTCCAAATACATATTTAAACTAGCCCAGATGATGGTCAACAACAACAAAAAAGCCCGCTTTAAATAGCTGTTGTTTCCACATCATGAATATCTGTATCATTGTAAAGAGGTGGGTGTTTGATGTAAGGGATTTGCGAAATCTGACACTAAAAGGTTTCCATAAGATGCGAAGCGGCTTCCTGTAAAGAATCATCAGAATGCAGGCTCCAGGGGATTGCAGTGGAAGCCCATTTGTTTGCAGCAGGCCTCATCGTCTGACCGCTATCTCTCTGTGGTGTCTCTTTACCAGCTGATACCCCTCCTCCTGCCTACATGCCTCCAGATGAACAGATGGGACAGGACGGGTCTCAGTCCATGGAGACTGGCAGCAGCATGGTTCCTCAGAACATGCCCAGAGGGGGTAAGAAACTATTGACGTCCTATTCAGAAGTAATCCAGGTGTGATGTCAAAGAACATATAAAAAAAAAAAACTCCCTCAAATCTGAGTCTTGTCATGTAGCTTGTTCATTACAGAAGTATGCGTGTATGTCTGTCTATGGCATGTTTCATAGCGGAAATATTGGCCTATATTACCAATGGCCTTGCAGAAACTATAAATACAGCCATAAAAGTAAAAATATTTTTTTAAAGAGCCACCCAGTTAGACAGGGAATGAAATATAAGAAGTTAAAATTCACAACAGTCCAAAATACAATTGCGATTTTTATTTTTAAATATAGTAATTAACACACAGTTAAAAATGTATGTCCATTTAATGATATACTTGTTACCACTCCAATTTGTTTTTGAAGTTTAAACATTAAAATGGTGTCGCCATATTGGCAAAGGTATGCATGCGGTTATTAATCTGCTTTGTCACTCAGTCCTGGAAACCCAGTGGGACATGACTTTAGCCTTCTGCAAAGCAGTGATGTTATCATTAACTAAAGGTATTAAAAACATTTTTTGTTAATTTAAATATAGCTAAATATTAGGTGAAAAACTAAACGAACATTAGAAATGTTGCCTTGTCAAGTAACTGAAGTTGAAGTTCTAGAATTACTAATTGAACTTATTTAAACTTAAAAAATATATTCAAACATTTAAAAATATAAAAAAAATGAACTAATAAAATGACCAAAGCACATAAAATTACAAAAAAGTAAAAATAATAGGAATTAAAACTATAATAGTGAATAAATAATACTACAATAACACTGTGGCAAAGGTTTGTCAGCACTAGGACCAATAATGACAACCTTTACCCTGTTTAAGGCCCATTCACACCAAAAAAAGATAACTATACTGATAACTATCTGGCATGCACACCAACTGACAATAATGGTCTAATGGTTTATTGTAAGCATGTGCTGTTTTTTTTGCTCTTTTTTTGTGTTTTTGCCAATTTAAATGATTGTGATCTTTAAATTCGGGTGGATTCTGTTTGTTTAAAATTGGATAAAAATTGTTTTGAAAGTGATTTGAATGATACTGTTCCTCTGGATATAGCTTGTGATGTAGACTTCCCTATTCTCATCAAATTAGATTGTTTATAATAAACATTATAGTTTTTGTCCTTAGTGTGCATGGGCCTTTAAAAGCAAGACACTTTTTTTCCATCAGTTTTTAGATGATTCATGTTGGCATGAGCTGGTTTAGTAACAAAGACAATTTGCTCTTTTTTTTTGTGTTTTTGCCAATTTAAATGATTGTGATCTTTAAATTCGGGTGGATTCTGATTGTTTAAAATTGGATAAAAAATTTTTGAAAGTGATTTGAATGATACTGTTCCTCTGGATATAGCTTGTGATGTAGACTTCCCTATTCTCATCAAATTAGATTGATTATAATATTTTATAATAAACATTATAGTTTTTGTCCTTAGTGTGCATGGGCCTTTAAAAGCAAGACACTTTTTTTCCATCAGTTTTTAGATGATTCATGTTGGCATGAGCTGGTTTAGTAACAAAGACAATTGTGTTTATTTTAATGATTAACAATTAATCAACTCCACACCTAAAAAGTTAAATGTTCTCAAAGTGAACATGTTTGATTACAATGGTGAATCATTGTTGGACTGTCTTATGATTCACTATTGAAATAAATCACAGGAAGACCATCTTTTTTAAAGGGGTCATATGATGCGATTTCAATTTTTCACCGTGGACGAAGCGGAGTCCAGCCCGGGGTCGTCACATGTGGTTGCCGCAGGCCCGCCGGACGCTCCTTCTTCGAATCCGCTGGCCGCCGCTCACTCGGGCCGCGTGGTGTGTGACGCTTTTTCGTTGTGAAAGAGAAACTACTTTGTTTGACCTTCCAAAGATGGACACGACTAGAAATCAGTGGTTAAGTTGTATTTACAACAGTTCCAGAACACTTCAACTCAAATATTCCCATGTGTGCAGCACATTTTATGGAGGACTGTTTCCTGATCCTGGTAGAGTAGACTACAATGCCGGCTGTTCTGACTCACAGACTGTAAGTACGTTTTTTTATTTTTAAAGAATTTGCCACGCGCAGAATGTGCAGATTTTTATAAAGCCAAATGTTAATTATTTTGCGTTTTACTTTATAATAGAATATTTCAGAAGTACATTTACGACGATCTCTTCTCCCTCAGGTGTCCACCTGTATTATGTTGGAGGAGAAGTGTATGCAGAGTGTCTGAGTGACACCAGCATTTTCGTCCAGAGTCGAAACTGCAACTACCATCATGGCTTCCACCCGACAACTGTCTGCAAAATCCCCAGCGGCTGCAGCCTTAAGATCTTCAACAACCAAGAATTCGCTCAGCTGCTCGCTCAGTCTGTCAACCACGGATTCGAGGCCGTCTACGAGCTCACCAAGATGTGCACCATCCGCATGAGCTTTGTAAAGGTATGAGTATCACCAATGATGAGCAGTTTTCAGATGATTATTCACCAACTTCTTACATGAACTTGTATTTGTTTTGTTTTTTTAGGGCTGGGGCGCAGAGTATCACAGACAAGATGTGACGAGCACCCCTTGCTGGATAGAAGTGCATCTTCACGGTCCCCTCCAATGGCTGGATAAAGTCCTAACACAAATGGGTTCTCCTCTGAACCCCATCTCTTCTGTCTCATAATGAAGGGCCCTGCTGGGCTGGGAGAGTCTTTTTTTTTGGTTTTTCTTTTCTTTTTTTTTCTTCACTTTTGAAAGAAAAGGAGATATTAAGGGCTGAACTGTTTACACTACCTGCAGAAGGGTGACCGGATCCTGCGGCAGTCAGAACGAGAAGAATGAACTGGGGCTACAAGCACATCTAGCTGAGGAAAATTCTAGGCAGTGACACAAAATGGACTAACTACTGCTTTAGCAATTACCTTCTTGTTTGTTTGTTTTTTTGCATACAATTGTTTTAAAATGATGCTTGTATGACTGATTTTCTCTAACTGTAGGTAATCTAGTAGATGAAACTGACATGCTTTCATGTATCTCTACTTCACTTTACACCAGTTGAAAATGGCAATTTCCTAGTTCTATGAGAATCTTTTTAATTGCAATGTTGTCTAATCCCTGTTATTTACAAGGCATATTTTCATTTATATGTTTACTGTTAGACTCAAAGCTCATTACAAATGTTTCCTTTTTATAGCATCTTTTGCCTTAAGGCAAATCAAAGTTACTGCTTTTAAATAAAGTTCTTTTATCTGAAAAATTTGTGCTCATTTGATGTTTTATGATGACAAATGAAAGCTGTTGCTCTACATGTGAGCCATATGGACTGAGACTTTTAACGTTTAAATCCACAGCTGTTAGCTAGCCCATTATGTCCTTGCATGTGTCTGTTTTCTCCAACATAGAAAACACAAAAGTGCATAGTGTAGTAGATTTCATTAGTGTTGCATGATTGTACTTGTTTTATACAAACAGATTCTGAAAGTGGAATCGGTGCTCATGGAGACTAAACTGGACATTGATGTCTGTTATTTGGTTCCCTCTACTGGACAAGACATGGAGTATTTTTAGTACAAGTTCCTGTGAAAATCTGTAACCCAATAGTTTTGTACTTTCCTAGACAGATTTGCCCTTCTTGAACCTCGTCTCGTATTCCTGTCATTCTTGTGTTTCTGTTCACATCAAAACGATATGCCTTCTAGGATATAAAACAGAGGAGATGAGATGTTTAGACATCAACAGTGAATTTAGACCACATTAAAGCCATTCTGTTTAGAATAGAAGAGATTTTGCTTGTCAGATTTGTGACCCTGCTGTATCTCTGTCTGTTCGCATGAGAACGATCAGACCAATATGTTTTCTGAATACAGAAGTGAGAAGTGTAGACATCGGTGTGAATATGTGGAGTGTTAAAGAGTGTTACCAGACAGTTTATCCATAATAACTAACCATTAAAAACGCAATAACGTCCGGATGGACTGGGTCGTTTTATTAATGTATTTACTTTTCTAACAGAAAAATAAAATAAAACAGTTATATAAACTGAGCAAGGATAATGTGTGCTCTCGGACTAATATCTGACGAACAACAGTGGCCTCTAGTTAAAGATGTCTTATTTCAGGTTTCATTGTATGACCACTTTTTATTCACACATTCGAAATACTTGGTTTTATTCATATATTTTTATTAAGACGTACAAATATTTTCAGCCAAGATTCATTCATCCATCTATCTATCATCTCTATTTTGTGTTGATCTGCTTCTCCTATTTGCCCTTTTTACATGGACTATCACTCTGTAGACTAATACAATCAGTTACAATAATTTTTCTAATATTTATTACAAATACTGATCAATTTAACCTTCTTCTATGGTATGAGATGATGACTGGATGTTTTTTTAACTGATTTCCTGTCACCAGCTGAATTGCAGTGGTCAAACTATTTAAAATATAGGCTAGTGAATTAAGTTACAAATTCGATCATTATACACAAAGTTTAAGCCTAAGCCAGTTGTAGTACTGACAGAATTGCGTAAACATGGCTGAAGACGCAAAAAGCAGCGGAACAGACAAACCGATTATATTGAGTGAGTCATTTACGCTGGAACCGCTCTGATTGATTCAAACTCAAACTTGATTCACTAGCAAAAAAAAACTGATAAAAAGAGTCTTTCATTTTCGAATTTTGACATCGCTTGTAATTATTTTAAAAAGCATGATGGGTGAAACGGAGCTTTTCAAAACTCCGAAGCAGTTAAACCATTGCGTCGCAAAATGATTCACTGTTTTGAAGCGCTCCAATTGGATCGCGTATCTAGAATAATTTGATTCATATCGGGACTTCGGAACGTATCGTGAATGATTCATATCGGGACTTTGGAACGTATCGTGAATGATTCATATCGGGACTTAGGAACGTATCGTGAATGATTCATATCGGGACTTCGGAACGTATCGTGAATGATTCATATCGGCACATCGGAATGTAACGTGAATGATTCATATCGGGACATCGGAACGTATCGTGAATGATTCATATCGGGACTTCGGAACGTATCGTGAATTATTCATATCGGGACTTCGGAACGTATCGTGAATTATTCATATCGGCACATCGGAATGTAACGTGAATGATTCATATCGGGACATCGGAACGTATCGTGAATCATTCATATCGGGACTTCGGAGTGAGTCATTTGATTTAGATCAAAACTTCAGAGCGGGTCTGCAAATCATTTCGAGATACGTGCTCGGAGTACCAATCAGAAATGATGGTTCAACTTCGGAGCACGTTCCGCGAATTGTTTAGATTGGGACTTCGGAATGCATATCACAAATTATTTGATTTAGATCGGAACTTCGGAGCGGGTTCACAAATCTTTTGGTTCAGATCGGGACCAGACGGAGTGCAGATAGCGAAGATTCGATCGGGTCTTCGAGTGCGGAGCATGAATATATTTGATTTAGATCGGAACTTTGGAGTGGGTTCACAAATCTTTTGATTCAGATTAGAACTCGGAGCATGTATCGCGAATCATTTGATTCAGATCGCGAATCATTTGATTTAGATTAGAACAGATTGCAAATCTTTGGCTGTGTCCGAAATCGCCCCCTATAACCTTAAATAGGGCACTATTTGAGGGAACAGCCATTTTTAGTGGTGTCCGAAACCATAGTGGACGTTCTCGAGTGCGGAACAGATTGCAAATCTTTGGCTGTGTCCGAAATCGCCCCCTATAGCCTTAAATAGGGCACTATTTGAGGGAACAGCCATTTTTAGTGGTGTCCGAAACCATAGTGGACGTTCTCGAGTGCACTCATTCAATCCCACAATGCACTGCAAAAACGAGTCTACAACTGGTGCACGCTCAACAGCTAGAGAATGCCCATAATGCACCATAAAGTGCTCCTCCATGGCGTATAGCATAATGTACAACACGGGTATAAATTCATTGTAAATTGATTATTAAATTGTTTGATTAGGGTTTATACATAATTTTCATGACAAATTATTCCGTGATAAATGCTTTAATCTTACTACTGGAGCTGCTAATGTGCTAGTTTCAAATGATTAATAAACAGCAAGCACAAACTATGCAAAAGCGACATTCCTTCCGGTGCACTCAGTGTCCGAATTCACTACTCGTTTTCATTCACTCCTTCTAGTGAACTGAATTAGTGACCTAATGTAGGGAATAGTGAATGAGGGTATAGGGGGCGATTTCGGGCACAGCCTTTGATTCAGATCGGAACTTCGGAGTGGGTTCGCAAAACTTTTGATTCAGATCGGAACTTCGGAGCGGATTCACAAAACTTTTGATTCAGATCGGAATTTCGGAGCGGGTTCGCAAAACTTTTGATTCAGATCGGAACTTCGGAGCGGATTCACAAAACTTTTGATTCAGATCGGAATTTCGGAGCGGGTTCGCAAAACTTTTGATTCAGATCGGAACTTCGGAGCGGATTCGCAAAACTTTTGATTCAGATCGGAACTTCGGAGCGGGTTCGCGAATCTTTTGATTCAGATCGGAACTTCGGAGCGGGTTCGCGAATCTTTTGATTCAGATCGGAACTTCGGAGCGGGTTCGCGAATCTTTTGATTCAGATCGGAACTTCGGAGCACATATCGTGTATCATTCGATTCAGATCAGCACTTCGGAGTGCTTTTTTAAAAATGTATATAAAAACAAAAGGATGACTACAAAGATACCGTTTTCATTACTTTTGGATTAATGGAACATTGGATAGTTTATAGGTCAACTCTGAATAAAGAAAAGAAAGGTTTAGAGCCAGTGAACTTTTATGAATGTGAAATTTAGCTAACAGGAAACATAAATTATGTAAAATATTCCCATATTCTATTTGGAATAGTAAAGCAGTACAAAGAAAACATCTTTAAACATCTATCTATCTAATTGTGATATTGATATTTTGTACATTTTGTGGCTTAATTTATTTTGGAGTTATTCGGTTTTTGGACAGACGAATTCATTTATTAATGATTACATCACGCCCAGCTTTCAACTGTATTTTATGTCACTTATGTCATGTCTTATCATAAGGGGTATGAATCTGTTACTTCATTTAGCTTAGTATAATAAATATAATAAATGTAAATATGGGGGAATAAGTCTTTGTTTAAAGGCAAAAAATTCACTAATACCTAAAAATGATATTAAAAAAAAAAAAAAAGCTGTAAAATATGTTAATTTGGAACTTAATTAAATTAATTTGTAATTAATACTTCATATTATTTATTTATTTATTTACCTACTTATTTTTATTTGATTAGCTTAATGTAAAGCTGTATATATTTAAAAACCAATGAAAAAAAAATATTTATTTGAAAACGAAAGCACCTATTCATGGAAACGAACAAACTTGTCTAGTCGGATTGACGTATTTGTCTTTGATTGATGGACGTTTCGTAAGCTTTTATTTTGAAAGCGAAACTCTGCTCGGTTCAAGCTGCTGCGCTGTCCTCACTCTTCCGGCAGGAATGAACGCTCACCGGAAGTGAGGTGGCCTTAGTTTCTCGACAGCAAGCGAAAAATAAACAGGTAACCGTCGAGCGGCTGCGACTACAAGAGATTGGAAGCGACACGATTGCTTTAGCTGGAAGAATAGACACGAGACGCAGTTATTAGTAGCGAAACTCAACATAGGCCATCTCTGTAAAGCAGAAATAGCGGATTGCTGCGGCTGAAGGTAAGGGTTAGGGTTAGTCCACTCTCGACTTCATACACTGCAGCATATGGTCGGTTATTAAAACATGCTGTGGCGGATGTAGTTAGTGTTTATTATCTGTATCGTAGATTAATTACAGCTGTCATACTGTCTTTCGTAGCCTTCAACTGTGCAGCTAACTGGTGCTGCTTTCAAACAGTCTGTAGCCAACCATTTAGCAGACAAAATTTATACATAATACAGTGTAACAAAAGCTTAATTTAGCTCATTCGTGCTCTTAGGAATGTGTGTGATAGGCCTAGTTGTTTAATGCATATACATACTGTAACTTGGACCCTTACTTTCACTTCAGTTTACTGGAAATTAGTGCTGGGCGGTATGACCAAAAATTTATATCACGGTATTTTTCAAAATGATACCGGGTTCACGGTACAAGACGGTATTTTTTTTTCATGCATGACCAGGTGTTAAAGGGGTCATATGATGCTTTTTTTTAAAGATCATTATTTTGTGTGTTTGGTGTAACAGAATATGTTGACATGCTTTAATGTTCAAAAAACACATTATTTTTC